GCCTCAAGATCCTGGTGGGCATGTACGACAAGAAGCAGCAGCAGCAAGCGCCCTGCCCGGCGCAGGGGCAAGCACCGCCGCAGCCGCCGGTGGCCCAGCCAGCTCTGCCTTACCACCACCAAGGGGGCTACACCCCGCTGTCGCCCGCCTCGCAGTACACACCCATGCACCCTGCTTATGCCCCCCAAGGGGACAACGTCTACCTAATGCCGGTCCCCAGCAAGGGACAGCAGGGTCTCTACCCGGGCTCAGCACCCACTGGACAGTTCCCGCCTGCCCCGGCTAAGCAGCCGCCCGCCTACCCGAAGCAGACACCTCCCCACGCCTTCCCCAGCCCCAGCCAGGAGATCTACCAGGTGCCCCCCTCCCTGGGCCAAGCGGCAGAGGCGTACCCCGGGGGTTCTGCCAGCCCCCCCCAGGATGTCTACCAGGTTCCTCCCTCAGCTGGTCAGGCTCAAGACATCTACCAGGTGCCCCCTTCATTGGACATGAGGAGCTGGGAAGGGCACAAGCCTCAGGGAAAGGTAGGATTGGGGGTCTGGGGGGGTGGCAGTGTGGTTGTGGGGTGCTCTGTCATCCATGGTGGCGAGTGGATGCCAGGGCTGTGGGGCTTCAGCTTATCCGCCTGCCGCTGTCTCTTGGAGCGGGCAGCCCTTGTGCCCGTCACAGGGGGTGTGTGGGCATCCTTCCCCACGCTGCTGGCAGGAGTGAGCATGCCAAGGGGTGCCTGCGGTGGCTGGGGTGCCCCCAGTTGGTGTGGGCTGCTTGACTTGGGACTGGCACAGCGTTCAGCACTTGGGTCCTTTTGATCTCTCGCATGGGCTCTGCTGGCATCACTGAGGGCATGGCAGCCGTGTCTGGGGTGGGCATGGCGGGGCTGGCAACCCAGGAGCTGCTTGGAGATGCCCCTTGGCCAGGTCCTGCAGCTATGGAGGTAGCTGTGGTACCTGGCTTGGTGCTGTGATGTTTTCTTCCTCCCGGGAGCGTGGGCAGGGGCAGGCAAGCTGGTGTCAGTGTGTCCCAGCCATGCCAGGGAGCCTGCTGGCACTTGCCACTTGGGTTTACCAGTGAGGCGAGGGTGAGCCACCAGCCTGTCCCCAGCATGGGGACCCTGTCCAGGGCAGCCTAACAGCTATATCCCAGACACCGGGCTCCTCCTGGCTCTGCCCCTTCCCTGGTATGTCATCCCAGGGAAGAGGAGCGAGCGTTTTCCGGGAAGGCTACTCTGACTCACACCCCTGGGAATCAGTTGGTGAGGGGGGCGGGGGGCACTGCCAAATCACAGCCAGGGCATTGCGAGCACCCTAAAAGGGAGGACCAACCCCAGCACCTCTGACAGTTGTTCAGCTCTTCTTGTCCCCAGCATCAGCTGGGCAGCGTGCCATGACCCTCTGGCATTGGTTGTTTACTGCTCTCGTGTCCCCATGATACAGCAAGGTGGGCACCAGGCTGTGGGCAGGGATCTGCCAACGCCCACGGGGCGT